TCCTCGACCAGTCCCACTGCAGCCACGATGGAGGCAGCATCACAGTAGTTGCGTGCAGTAGTGGTTCAGCCCAGTCCGGTAGTGGTTCAGCCGAGGCCGGCTCTGCAGGACCGACTTTATTCATAAAACATCGCCCTGAGTTGCGCGCTGGGTTTATGGTGGTGGTGGTTATGGTGATTCAGTTACCAAATATCTCCTTTGTATTCGCATCTAGCTTGTGAACCGAACCGCTGAGATGGAGAACATAGATAATCGTAAGTTCGACCCCCCAGCTCTCGTAGAGAGTCTGGCCGATGTGTCTAGCGGCCCCGCCAGCGAAGCAAACGATAAGGGGCCCGCGACACACAGTCTCCTCATTGTGGAAGAACTGGAGGATTCCGCGAGCGAGGACCACGGCGGGGCAAGTGCATCCCCGGCCGCCGAAGCGACCCTCGGGGACGGCCTGAACCCCCCGAAGGAGAAGATACGACGCCACTCCTCCTACGAGGCGCCGAGGCTGTCTACGTTGCCTGCTGCGAGGCCCTCGCGCAAGATCAGCCTCGCAGCTCCCATGCAGTCAGTCAGCAGGAGGAAGGAAGCCTACAAGTATAACCACGCCCCCCTCAGCATAGCCTCGGGGACCATTGAGGACGACGAGGCCGACGCGCAGAGGATTCGGCGCGCCCTCGGCATCCCCTTCGACGAGGACTTCAGCAGAAAGAACTGTAAGTCGAGCGCCAGAGAGCCTTATCATATCTATGCTTATGCTTCTCTCTCATCTCGGGGGCCAGTGCTTTATGGGATCCCCAGGGCAATTCAAGTCTTTGCTCTGCTGATCATGTTTAAAACATACACAATACCCTTTAAGGCGAGCGTTAGCGGGATGAATGCTCATGTCTGCAGGTGCGAAGTGCGTCTTTGTGCGAGCGGCATGTGCGGGCCGGGCGAAACTTGTGAAAGGAAGCAATTATGAGTCATGGCTTTGGCTTCGGCCGCGAGCTCACAACACATCTACCGTGTTGCTGACCGCTAAACCGAGGCAAGCACGAGAGATCCGGGAAAGCCAGGGCGGCAGTACCAGGTTGGCTGCTCGAGCGAGGGACCGAGGACGAGGAATGTCGACTCCTCAGGGCAAAACTATTTTTTCTTCGAGTCGGTCAGTCCGCTAGCCGCGAGAAATGACGAGCATCGGGCAAAAAGCTGGTTCGCAGATAAACGATTTGCATGAAGGCGCCGACGGCAAGCGGAGCCAGGGCAACAGGCTGTCAAATGTTACATTCCTCAGCCCGCCCTTTTACGCCCTGCTTTGGAACATGCGCGCGGCTACGTCACTCCGGCTCAACTCCTCTTTTCCTACAATCCCAAGGAGGAAAAAGAAAAAGTCGTCTCTCAGTTTAAAAGCAGAAACGTCATTTTCCTCATGTTCCACAGATTATTTTCACCCGAAAATAGGAATAGAAATACCACTTAAAGGACGAACAAGTGAGCATAGCGAGGTCAGGGCGAGCGGAAGGGAAATAGTTTGTGTGGACACGGCGAGGGGGTGGGAAATCGTTGGGGGGGAGGGGAAGGGAAGGGCAGGTGGGAGGTGTGGGGGGGGGGCAGCAGCAGCGACTGTTGGAGGGCGGAGTGAGAGTCATTTGTTCCGTGTGAAAAATAAAACCGCTTCCCAGTTTCATTCATTGGGTTGGTGTTGTGAGCAAGCAGGTTTGCACTTTACTTCGGAATCAAGGGCTTATTTCATGAATGGTATTCTCTCTCAGTGGATATTTGGAATTAAACAAAGGGAAAGCGAGTTGACGATGTCGCTGTAACGTTCCGGACCGTCTGTGGGGTGTCGTTTGAGCGGGAAGAGTCGGTAGGGGGGGAGGGGGGCCGTAACGCGAAGGAGGCGATTGTTAGAAGGGTAGTGGAGCACTCGCGGGTCCGTTTCCGTTACACGAGGCTTCGTATTTGCATGCTCTGTTTCCATCCCCTTTCTACCCCCCTTCCTTTTTCTTTTCTTTTTGCTTACTATTGCGTTATTTTTTTCCTCCTCGTTCTCTCCCTTTCTCTAGTTTCTAATTCTATGTGCTCCGATTCCTGTGTCTTCCTTTCGAAACGCCTTTCACCTTTTTTCATTCTCTCTCTCTCTTTCTCTCTCTCTCTCTTTCTCTCTTTCTCTCTTTCTCTCTTTCTCTCTTTCTCTCTTTCTCTCATTCTCTCATTCTCTCATTCTCTCATTCTCTCATTCTCTCATTCTCTCATTCTCTCATTCTCTCATTCTCTCATTCTCTCTTTCTCTCTTTCTCTCTTTCTCTCTTTCTCTCTCTCTCTCTCTCTCTCTCTCTCTCTCTCTCTCTCTCTCTCTCTCTCTCTCTCTCTCTCTCTCTCTCTCTCTCTCTCTCTCTCTCTCTCTCTCTCTCCCTATCTCTTTCTTTCTTTCTTTCTCCCCCCCATCTCCTCTTCTCCTCTCTCTCCCTCTCAACTTCCCCTCCCTCTCCTCTCCCCCTCCCTCTCCTCCCTCTCCCTCTCCTCTCCTCCTCCCTCTCCTCTCCCCCTCCCTCTCCTCCTCTCTTCCTCCCTCTCCTCTTCCCCTCCCTCTCCTCCTCTCTTCCTCCCTCTCCCCCTCGTGGCCCAAACGCCGGAACATTAATCATTCTTCCACTGTACTTTTATTTCCTCTCGCCTTGTTCCTCAAGCCTCCCTCTCCTTGTCCTTCGGGGCATAAAAAAGGGGAGTAGAAGAATGAGGAGGGAGAGGGAGAGGGAGAGGGAGAGGGAGAGGGAGAGGGAGAGCACATAGGAAAACGTCGCCCAAACTCGGCATTTACTCTATTAGATTTTTTTCTCTCCTCCTCCTCCTCACACTGTAAGATACAAACGCAAAGGGGTTCGTTCATTCATGAAAACTCTCCTTTAGTGTTTGGATTGCGTCTTCACCGCTTTATAGTGTTTACCTGTTTTAGGGGTTTTAAGTTTAGTGTGAAGAGTGAGGTAACGTGAGGCAGTTGGAGTGAAGCAGTGAGGTTCCGTAGTGGCGTGAGGTAGTCCCAGGTAGTCTGGTTGCCAAGTAGTTCGGGACAGTGGTACTATGCGGTGGTTTAGTTGTAGGTGATACCGATTCTTTGAGGTAGAATACACATGTAAAGTTATGATAGAATGGAAGTTGAGGAATGGAAAATAGGGTAGAAATAAAGGAGTAAGATCGACAGATTAGTGAGGGAAGAGGATAGAGCGGGAGAGAGGGGAAGAGAGAGCCACGTTACCAGGTGGAGGGATTTCTGGCCGTGATATCACCCTCGGCAGCGTCTGGGAGTGCCGTTGTGCCCTACCCTCCATACCCCCCTCCTCCTCCTCCTCCTCCTCTTCATGCTTCCCCCCCCCTGGCGTGCTCTACCCCCTACCCTAACCTCTTCTCCTTACCCCTGCCCTTACCCTGCCTGGCACTACGGCACTCCCACTGACTGTCTTGTCGTAAAGCGTCCCCAGTCTTTTCTTTCGGTAAAATTACAAACGCATGTAAGTGTTTTATACATATTTTTCTCCGTAATTTGCCTCATTATGATAAGGGTAAATAGAGTGTTTTCTCTCATCTTGGGACCGTGATCCTTGCGAGCTCTTGAACCGTAATGATTAACGAGCTTGACTTTGTAGTCACAATTACTACTCATATAAAAGCTGCAGTCATTTACATTGTTAACAAGGCATGGCGAAAGAGCGTGGGAAGAAACGCGTTTGTTAAGTCGTGTTGACATTTCCTGAAGCCGGCACCGTAGCACGGAATATATATTTGTAAATATAATAAAGTGGTTGATGTTATTGTTTATATAGGAAAGCGAATGGGGTACAAAGAAACCAAGGAAAGGGTTTCGGGGGTGCCAGGGTGTCGCTATAAGCTTCATCATGGGGTTGGCACCAATGTCTGGCACCGTCCCATGATGCCACCGGGCCCCCTCCTCTTTTTTGGGGGATCCCTCGCTCTTTTAATGCTACTTTCAGTCGTCATTTTTTTTATTCAATTTAGTTAATCATGAAAACGTGCCATGTATTGTTTGAATTAGAAAGTTGGCCTCGCAATATACGAAGATGGTCGCGATGTCAAGCCGTTTAGCAGAAGACAAACGGTTCTGATTTATTAAAAGAGTTGGCTCACGCGTTGACATCATAGCTGTATCCTGCCATTCATCTGTCTAGTTTGTGTCTGAAGTCGCTCGCTCGCCCAAACGCAGAATTTGCTTTTTTACACGTTAAAAGATGTATGAAAAAAATGGATATGTACTCTCAGATTTTTTGCCCGGAGTAAAAAAAAAGAAAAACGTATAAGGGATAGAGAGTTATTAATTTCGGGGGTCATAAGCTGTGTGCCCCGGGGTCGAGATGGGAGCGGATCTTCCGATGTGGGATCGGGTCTTGGGGTTTCGTCACTTATTGATTTTGTTTGCGCGGAGGAAAGGGGAGAGAGAACGAGAGATAGCTGTTGATTCATTATCTCGGGAGATCGTCTTTCTTCCTCATTGAAGTGATATCTGTGGCGAATGATGTCATTTTTTTATTTTGAGGAGCGACGATATGATGTCATTTTCTTGTATACATGTATACATATGTATGTATTTATATAATTTTCTAAATAGCTTTCCCTGTTGTCTGTTAACGTGTATGCATAGCTTTGGGGAGATGTGCACGATGGTCTTGAGATGATTATAGAGGACATCACCCATTAAAAACAAGTTAATTGACTCTGTGGCCACATTGGGGAAGCCATGATAATGTGCCCCGCCTGGCCGGTGTAAATGCCCCCTCGGAGGTTAATAGGATCGGCCATGCGGTCAGGGGGTGATCTCATGCACCAGCAGACAAGATTATCGCGGGATCTAGATTAGCGTTGATGCCTATGAACGATCGTGCGAAGTGGTAGGGGGGTGGGGGGGGCTATGGAGAGGGATGGAGGGAAAGGAGAGAGGCGGGAGGCATCAGGATGAGCAAGAGGGAGGAAGAAATGAAGAAAGGGAAAAAAATCATGCAGGGGTACAAGCCATTTGGAAAGCATTAATTCTTGTTGATGGTTTTCACTGATCTGTGGTGTGTCGCGTCTTTGCCACCTCGCTATTGCATGGCGGCGGAAATGCGAGATAGGAAACGTTTTATAAAAATAAGTCTTACTTCATCTGATTGTGAGTGATAACATGTGTCACCTTTAACTTTCCGGAGTTTTATTTAGCAGTATCGTCACAGTATTTCGGTTGAAGTATGTTTTGAAGGACCAATTTCCCCCCATGTTGAAGATAGTCGTAATGTATAAAAAATATTTTCTGTGTTGAATAACGCTATGCAGGGTTGGTCAGGGTGCATGGGAAGATTATGAAAAAAAAACTAAAGTTTAAAAAGCTTGTAATTCAATTTATCATTATGTCGGAACGGAACATTCTACAACAAGACGAAAATACTTGTCATTGCGTGAAAGAGTATTCTAAATGGGATATATTAACAAGTAATTTTACACACGCATTCAGTAAACTGCGTGATATGTGACTAGGATCACACGCCTGGATGTCAGATTACACAACATATTACTTCCCCGATAAGATTGCGCTGCCAGAGATAATTCCGTCCGAATGTGCTCTGAAGACCCTCGCATCGGTGCCGTGCCTACGCGCCCTTTATCACCCTAGTACTTAAGGGTTAGTTTCCCTTATCGCTCCCTATAAAACACCCGCCGCAAAGCCATTAAGAGCCGACGACCTGTG